TCCCTACACCTTATCTCATTTAATCTACAAATACATGTCCAGAAGTCTTTCCTATGCGGATGACTTTTGCATTTCTGACTCAGGTGTCTGTCCAAACTCAAACTATATTCTGTCCTTCTGTCATCTCCTGCCAACTGTTCAGCCACCAGCTGAAGCTCAGCATGAGGAAAAAGCAGACCTTAATTACTCAGCAGCAGACTGTCTATCACTCAAACTTACGTCTGCAGTTACACATTTCATATGGGTCATTCCAGCTCCTGATACCCAGACCTGGTCTAAAGGCTTTCTGGCTAACTCTTCTCTTTTAGAAGAGATGTTCCAAAAAAACACTTTGAAATTTTGACCTATGTAAAGATCTGGCTGCACAGACTACCTGCGTGTGACCTAGGGCAAATCTTACTGAAGTAATGAGGGTTCATGCACTGATTTCAGTGAAAGACTGTGCTTTTAAAAAATGAAATCCTATGTGAGTTTGCCTGTTGAATATACAAATGTCCCCAAATAGCCATGCTGGAATTTCTAGGTGCAATTGAAATGTTTTTATTTGCTGCACAAGTATCTTGGAGGTTTTTGTCCTTTGATTCCTCCTTTGGGTTTTGGCCTGCAGTTTAAAATTAAAAGAAACCCAAAACTTGAACAATAAAATTGATCAGTCAGATGGCTGACTCATCTTTCCTCATCCCATCTGGTTGAATTAATATTTGAAAAAAAATGATACGTTTTTGAGATCTTTTCTGTAGCTGTTGGGTTTTAAGACTTGACATATTTGGAGTAGACAAATTATTATTATCTAACCTTATTGTGGTTCTAAAGTTCAGATTTAAATGACCCCAGTAAGTGTAAAAGTTCCTAAGCTGAGCATTTTTTGGGGTGAACTCATCTAAGTCTTTACATCTGGTGGCTAAATTCTCCCTATCCTACCTCTTTGGAGGTAGAATTAATGCTCAGTCATCTATAGTAGAACATATATGCTGTAATACAGAAGAGTGGTTTGTCACAAGTTTGTTGGTTTTTTTTTTCAAAAATAGAATAAACTTGTGGTATCTTTCTCTAGCTCTGCATAAAGCAAGCTCACTCAGTGAGGTAATATCTTACTATGCTTGTTATAGTTGTCTTTAAGTTGAATTTTGCATCTGGGAGTATGTTTTAAAGCATATTTCTGGTCTCTCCCACAAGGAAGGAGCCCAAAAAAAATAGCTGAGCAGAGCATTGAGTGGCTGCCCTTTTAATGCTGAAAGATACTGTCCCACTGTTTCTTTATCCCTGAAATGTGGAAGGGCCACACATCTGGGAACCAAAAACCTGTATCCTCATGCCAGTTCTGTCACTTTTTGCTCAGTGTTCCTCCTTGGAGCAGCTCATGCTTTAATTATCAACACTGCATTAGCATAGAACCTCAGTGGGGTGAAAAGTATAAGCAGTAAATATGGCAGAGTCTGTAACCATCAGTGCACACAGGTGGACTCGTCAGATGCCTCATTGATGATTGGTTTTGCTTGGCCCTTCTTCCTGTAGGCTTCTTTGCTGGAGACAATAAAGGGCATTGGTGATTGCATTCAGGTGATTGTTGTCTCAGGGTTGGAGTACTGTGTCCCTTGAAATGTGGAGCTGGGTTGGAGTAATCTAAGTGGCTTTTCTTTGCAGAGCAAGGTGCAAATACCTGGCTCTCCACAGCAGATAGAAATTGGGAGGACTGTGGATTATATTAATCTTTTCCATGTACAGACATCAGGTTCCTTGTGCTCCTAAGATGGCCTTTGGAAGTTCTTGGAGAAGTCATTGACCTCTGTTGACTCTCTGTTCCAGAAAGGCAAATAGCTCCTGATGGACACCCCTGAGGAAGAGGCAGGTTCCCTTGTGTTGCAGCAGGCTGCTCTTGCTCCAGACCTTTTAACACTTAAAATTATTGATACCACTCAAAGGAGAGGACATGGGGAAGCAGTTCACTTATTCCCACAGCTGAGAAAAGAAAGGGAGCATGTAATTACTTGTGTTTCCAGCCCTGCCAGGCTGTAAGATTTGCCTCTTGTGTATTGTGGAACGTGATTTCATCAGCAGTGTAACCACAGGGTAGTTACTGCACAGGGAAAAGCTGGGTAGGTGAGTTTACTCCTCAAAAGAAGTAGTGACAGTGTTCCCCCATGTGCCTTCCTCCAGCTCATGCACTGGGAAGGCCTTTGCAGCTGATGTCCCTGCTGGGGGCAGAAATGGGGTACAGCTGGATTTGCACACTTGCCACAGAGCACGGGGGAGTGCGTGGCACCAGCATGACCCTGGCAGCTGTGAGCCCTGGCAGGTCTGCAAGCAGGAGCTGTGTCCCCCTTTCAAGTGCTGTGAGATGTGGGGATCTGGGGTGGCAGTCTGGGCAGGTCTGGAGCAGGGAAATGACCTGGGAGGCTGGAGACCCTCCTGGTATTTCTGCCTGGGCTATTGCACCTCCTGCTGCACGAGGACCTGTCCTGCAAAAAGGAGGGCAGGACCCAGGTCTGCTTTGCTGGATCCTCTGAGCTTGCAACTTCCTTAGGCGCAAAGGTGCTTCTAAAATTGAGATTGCTGAGAAAAACTGGAATTTCTGCCTCATATTACTTGGATTTGCTTTTATTGCTTTGCCAGCTGGAGTGAGCGTGTTTCAGGGGTCCTGATTTTAAATTTGGGCTCGAGACAGAAGTCTTACTTCAAGACTGGGATCCAGGACAAGACAAAGAAGAAACATTTACATTGGGAGCATGGGAAGCGATTTAAATCTTAATACAACTTGCACATAGAAAGCCAACTGTTACCTCTCAGATACAAAGAAAAATGGCACTGTTAGCTTTAAATAATGTACATTTCCAAGATGTTGCCCAGCTGTTAATCATTAACCCTGTAGCAGGTTGAAGCATAGAGACAGATGTTCCAAAAGCAGTTTTATTTCCTGAAATAAAGAGAATGAAGCTATGAATTAGACAAATTAAGAAGAAATTCAAATATTTACACCCAGTTGAAACAAGATGCTGGAAAAACAGGCATGATAAAATTGCTGCAATTAAATGTAATTTAATTTATAATTCTGAAAGCATGCTTCTTCCAGAGGCAGCCTTTCAGTTTTCCTTATGGAGTGCATTGTTGTGATGTATGGATTTTCCTGACTTATTATGGCATTTTAATCAACAGTTCAACGATGTGATAATATTCCTAAAGCAGAAAAATAAGTGACGTTTGTTTAGACACAATTAATGAAATATTTATGTTGCATGAGGCTGTGTGATAAAGCCTTGTTCTCTTAGTCCATTTGCTTCTGATTACATTTGTGATTTTTTTATATGACCAGACATTCTGACGCCAACTATTTTACACTGAGCAGATGTCATGTAGTAAAAATGGGTGCCAGATGCTACAGCCACATAAGGGTAATTTGTTTAAGAGCTGGCTCAGACTTTTTGCATTCAATTACACTGTATAGTGAGCCTTATACAATCATTTGGGTAATATGGCTAACTTCAGATATACATTTTAATGAATGTTGAGTGAGTTCAGAACAGTATGGTACAAGCAGAGTGCTCAAGGAATTAATTGATTTGTATGTAATACCTGAAAAAAAAAAAAAAATCAAATATACCCAGACAGAGTTCTTGACAGGGATCAAAAATTTAATTTATGCTGTAGCCAAATTTCCAAATTGCTCAGGGTGTTGCTGATCAGAACACAGGACAGGTGCAAAGTGTCTGTGTAAGTTAAGGAACAGTACCTTTTGCTTCATTGACTATTTTGTTCCTGCATTTTAGGATGTGAACACGTACCTGTCAGAAAAACTACTGAGTATTATACTTCTTCCTCTGACGATGATTTTGAATCCAAGCCTTCATTAACACACAAGGTAACCTTGACTTGGAAACAGAAAGATATTTTCTCAGTTTGACTGTATTTCAGATTTATCATATGAGTTTGATCTAAACCACATTCTAAATGACAATTTCTCAAAGTGGGGATGAGAATGCTTTATCAGTGGGAGGTTATGTGTCATGGGGAGAAAAATACATTTGAACTCTTTAAGAGAAATGAAAAATCAAAATTTCTGTTTCCTCCTTAGATCTTTAATTCCCCCAGGCTACACCAGCATTGACAGAGAAGGTCTTAATTTGACAAACAGACATGTTTCACTGAAACCACTTTGAAGCTGCATTTTTAAGTGACCTTAATTTGTAGCCCAACAAGCAAACTATTGAAAAAATTAAACCGAACAGATGCAGATTTCCCGTGGGGAAATACAACTTCATTTGAGAGGCGCTACAGGCAGGTTGCATGGCAAACACTGTGTTTATCCTAATCAGCACAACTGCATGAGCCACAAAGTTGCACCCAGACCCACCACACTGAAGGGCTAGCTGCACAATGAGATCTCTGAGCCCCACCTTGGTTCCTGTGGCTAGCAGGAGTGGTGGGGTTAAACCACCAGTGAACTCTCGATACGCAGCTCTGATTTGAAGAAACAGAGCTTTTATTGCCTGCATAGCTCTTCGGAAGTTGTTTACCTCTTTCCGGTGGAGGGAATATCTGTAAGTGGAATTAATAGTATGAGGTGGCCCTTTGATTTATTGCCTTTGAGAAAGGAAAAAAATAGGAAAACAAAGCAAAAGGCTGCCCACTGCACTGGAGAAACAGCTGAGCTGAAAAGCTAAGTGAGGCTTTGAACGGAAACCCAGTTGCACAGCTCCAGAGGAAACAAAGTGCCACGAGGCAGAGGCGCAGCAGCGTGTGGTGGCACGTCCCACCAGTGTGTGTGTCAGGATGTGCTGAGATGTCAGAACTCATCATTCATCTTTTCTGTTACAGGAAAGACAATCTATAGTAAGATAATATTGTGGTGAATTCAATAAAGTTTATAGAAAATAGAGAAAGGACAGGAGACATGGGAGAAAACTGGATAGGAGCAACTCCCAACAACTCAGGCAGCCTGCAGGGACAGGCAGGACCAGGCAGCAGGGAAGGCAGCTCTGCTGGAGCAGCTGCCAGAAATGGAGAGAATGAGCAGTTACCACACACGGGCATTAGCAGTGACTCAGTTTTGATACACATTCCCTACTCAGCTTGTTTCTCTCTGCTGCCTCCTAGCACTTCTTCTCATGCCAGTTCTGGCTGCTATTTTGCCAGTACTACCGTTTTTCTCTGGCAAAACTTGGTGGGAAAAAATTTAGTGGCTTCCTCTCTTGTTAGCTTTTTAATTGTCTTGTCTTCAGTACTTGTCTGTTCTGTCTCCTCCAAGATGGGAAAACCACAGCCTTGAAGCACCTCCAGGTAGTTTGGGTCAAGGGCAAGACGGAGCAAGTGCAGGTGATTCCCTTGGCCAGCCCTGCAGCACATGCTGTCCTGCTTCCCTGGCAGCAGGGGCAGGTGCCCCAGGGAAATGCAAAGCACCTCAATAATGCAGCAGAGAAAAACAGCATTGGGGAAGATTTCATAGGGCCTCAGGTAGTGTCCCATGACAGTTGTTTCTTTCGGACACATCCCTTGTACCGCGCTACGAGTGATCCAAAGTGCATTTCACTACAGCAATAGAAATTAGTTGAGTTTCCTTAAACTGGTGCTTTCCCTTGTTTGGCTTGTTCCCTGATTATGGTCATGTCTGCAGAAGCCACGTGTGTTGTATATAGTCAATTTTGTGATTAGGATATTTTTTATTGAAAGGCACAGTTCACGCTCACCTAGGGTTGCAATAAGAGTTTGTAATGATTTAAAGTCAATGTAGGAAAATGCATTAAAATATTCCTATATATTTACACTTCGGTTAGGTCGCCCCAAACAACCCTGCAGTAGCTCACCTTGATTTGATCAGAGGAGTGGGGTTAGATGATCTCCAGAATTTTATCCCAATCTCAACATTTGTGTGATTCTGGGGAAGATTTGAGAAAACCTGTAATGCTACACTTAGGCTTGATTGCCTTTCTCTCTCTCTCTCTCTCTCTCTCTCTCTCTCTCTCTCTCTTTTATAGGCAAAAAGGACTCTCAGGAGGAGACGGAAGCTAGAGAAGGAGACAAAGCAACTGATTAAACAAGAAGAGCTGAAGAGGCTTCACAAAGCACAGGTGAAAACCTAGCTTGCAGATGTCCCATCTATCTCCCAAAGTGACTAGGGAGGACAGGGGGTACCCAGTGTGGGCTCTGCACCTCTCCTTGTTCCTCACTGTGGCTCACTGCCTTCCGTGTTGAAATCCCCCCAAAACATCAGGAGCGGGAAGATGTAGGTGGCAGGACCTTGCATCTCATATGTCTCAAATTCACGTGCCCCATGAGATCATAATAATTTTTTAATTGTGCAGGAAGATCAAGGGGGAACAGTGACTGACTGAAGAGGGAAAGACATAGAATTGGGAATTATTCTCAGCCTCTGAGAATGTGAGAAACACAGCTGTTACTCCTCTGTACAAGAGAGTACAAAAATACAGTGATGGGTTTTGTTCTCTCTCTACCATAGCAGTGAAAGTCAGGCATTTCCTTTCCCAATGATGGAAAACAATATCACTATATACAGGCTCTGCTTTTCAGAAAATTTTGGGAAAGTTCTGAACTCTGCTAATGTATTATTTCCAATTACAATTCAAAGATTTGGGCATGCACTTCTGTGCAACTAAATCTCAGACTGTTCTGTCAGGTGTCAGAATTTTCAGGTCTATCTGTTTCACTTTCCACACCTACGTAACTACATGCGTATATACACACAAAACTTAAAGGCTTATGTGGCCACTAGAATTTTTTTGTTTCTGTTCTGTAGCATAAAGCAGAGAAACCTGAGCTAGATTTAATCTCATTAATTCAGGTTGTAATGTTAATCAATATTACGGTAGTGGGGAGCTTTTTGAAGGCAGAGTTGTCCATCATCTTCTGTTTTATTACTATAGCAGGTGGATAATTTTGGATGGAGCTTTCATTTAACAACTTTGTTATAATTTTTATCTGAGAATTGTGAATCATCTCAAAGTACAATTAGATGCATACATGCCTTCTTTTATTTTACTCCTTTTGGAAATATTCAGGTCCAAACCTTTTGAACCATCTTTCATGTTTGTTAGGCTGTTCCTGAGGGCTTGGCTTGGTATGCGCTAACACAGCCTGAAATGGAAACTGCTGAGCATCTGTTTGACAATTCAACCTCTTAAGATGTTTCATGCCTATTATCCACATGACACCTCTGAAAATCTTATTTAAATGGGGACAGACCAGTAAATGTAAAGTCCTTCCTGAAAGGCCATTGAATTATTACTTCTTAGACCCTTTCCTCGCTGTGTCGAAAGCTTGTGTAATAGAAAAGGAAAACAACAAAAACCCAAGGACAACAACATAGCTAGCAAAGATTTCTAGCTGTAAACTTTCAATATTTATGAGTTTTATTCAGGTAGCATCTAAGAATACCTGCTTCTGAATGTGTATGGTATTGACTTTTCACACCTTGTGAGACAGAAACTTTATGATCTCTGTTTTACAACAGGAGAGCTCAAGTTCAGAAAAATTGAAGTTCTTTTACTACCTACTATACCTGCATAAAAATGTAACAGATACCCAGTGGAATCATTACATTGCTTAGATGCCTGACATACTCCATGAGTTTGCAAATTCCATGACTCCTCTGAGACCTTTTTAAGCTGCCTCTCTAACCACTGAGACCATCTTTTTGTCTGTGAATTTTTAAGCTATCTCTGTAGCTCTTACATCATTACAATTTTGCAGGCAGTTCAGCGCCAGCTAGAAGAATTAGAGGAAAGACAAAGAGCTCTGGAGATTTTTGGTGTCAAACTGGAGAGAGAGCTAAGAGGAGAATCAAGTAAGTGAAGCAATGTGTGTTTGCTTATTTGGTGGTGGTTTTCTATCCTTTTTCAAAGAAGAAGGGTTTTAATTATAGTCACAGAAAGAGAGTTCAGCACAAAATCTGAAATGAAACAATAACCGGAAAGACAAAAATAATTCTTTACCCTTTTCCTCAAACTCTGATAGCTCAAGAAACTTTATCCTGAATGCTATAGATTTTCTGTTGGCTATCACCGATCTGGAATTATTTGCTTTGTTATTGAACCCGAACCTAACTTCCCTGTCCCCCCATTTTAAAAAATCCCATCCTGAGCTTAATTTCATCTTCTGGAAGGAGCCAATGAGATTTCCAGGAGCTGCATCTCAGTTACCGAGCCAGCAGCAGCCCGTGCCTAGTAACAGAGTCTTTAATGACTTCTCCTGGAGTGTGAAATGCCATTAATATGATTAGAGCCAGCGGCCATGCTATAGCAACAGCTGCATGCAGGCTCCCAGACTTGAACTGCTCAGCTTTCCCTCCAAGGGGTGGAAGGTAACAGGGATGTCGTCCTGGCTGCAGTTGGAGGCAGTGTTTTCACCCGCCTAACTGACAGTCTGAAGTACACAGGACTGCACTGCCCTCCCACCAGCCCAGCCTTACCAGTTGCTTCCCAGTATGTAAAGGACCAAGCTGAGAAGAACCCCTGCACAGAAACAGGACAGCTGAAGGTTTCTGTCAGGCTCAGAACAGGAGTGGGAATGTGAACAATGCGCATAAGGGACTTCAGAGGGGGCTGCAGTTCCGTGCTGAAAGGAGGAGGCTGGGGAGCCTGTGGCCTGATGGCAAGTGTGTCTCTATTTACCTTATTTTAGAAAGCTGAACCTTCTGCTTTCATGACAGGCAGTTGCACAACACTGAAAACTTGTATATGTATTGATACCTGATCTTGTCATTGTCTTAGCTAGGCAACCCAGCACAATGTCTATAAGCTGTCTTTTTTAATGCCATATTTCTTAGTTGTTATCACCCCTATTCTAACACTGAACTAATCAGTTCAGCAAGACATCATTTGTCCAACCTTTTATACTTATTAACTAATTTCCTGTAATTGATAGTGACAACCTATTTCAAATGTTATTTTTAGCTAGCTTTTTTTTTTTTTCCTTAAAACATAACTGTTTCTCAAATGGCACCCACCTTGCTGCCTGTGAGAAACTCTGCTAAAGAGACTTCGAGGGTTTGACGTGTTAGTTTTTTTCTTTACTGCTGATTTGTTTAAGGGTAGATTTTTTAGGAAATGTCAAAAATACAGGACAATAGGCTTCTAGGTCTTGGGATAGACACCAAATACTAGGATAAATGGCCTAGAGCCGCCTCTTGTTTTTGCTGTTTTGACAATCACATTTCCTAAAGAAGGCTGGCTGCCAACAGATTGATGCTTCTCATTCTCTTCCCATCCTTAGTAATTGGATTGCTCTCATTAAGGTGAAAGTACTATTTTTTCTCCCTGTTGATTGTTTGTGCGTAGGTGGCCAGTTACAAATAGGGCAGATACTGAAACACAGGATGTTACTGTGTCTCAATAACTCTTCTTGTGCAAAAGCATGAAGCTCTTAAGTTTCCCCAACAAAGCGTGATTTGTTGCTTGTAATAACATGTGTGTAATGATGCAGGAATCAGTGAGTTTTAAATTCTCTTCAGCCTTCTTAAAAATAATAGACATTATTGGTTAACGAATGACCAGTGTTTATTAGGTTAAGTTGTATTTAAGCAGGTCTGTGCTCATGCAATTCAACTGATTTAATAGGTATTATTAAGGTAATTAGAAAACAATCACAGTTCAGCAATAATATTGAGCTGCAAAGGTTGTGAATAACCAAATTTAGAGACAGGCCTACAAACCCTAGTCTTCAGTGACATTTACGCAACTCTCCTCTAATAATTCTGTAAGCCCAGGATGAATGGCCTCTTTGTTAGGGAGAGTTATTCATTAGCTCCTCAACTGAATTAGAAGAGAACATGTGTGGGTGTGAAACAACTGCCACAAAGACTGATGAGCAAAATGAGGCTTTGATGATCTTCTAATTGTAGTGGCAACAATTCATGTATTAAAAAAAAAACAAAACAGTCCCATTTTTCATGCCCCTTATTCCCTTCATTCTGGTCTAAATACCAAATAAAAATCACTGCTGTACCATCACTTGTTTTCTACTGACATTTATAGAGCTTATGGATATTTTTCTGCCTACAAGAAATACAAAAATAAACATCTCGAAACATATTTTCCACTGAAATTAGCATAACAGATTGGTTAACAAAACAAGTAATGAAGAATGTTGGTAAAGAAGAAAAATCTGTGTTGAGAAAATGTTCAGAAATCTCTCCATGGTTTGGAAGGTAAACATATATCTGCACATGTTGCAGCTATTTTTTTGTTTCGTAAGGAGCATATCCAAGTCTTCTCAGAACTATCAACAGAGCAAAAAGATCTGTTGAAAAGCTCTAGGGATAAGGAATGATCTGTTTAGCTGTTCCTAAAAAGGTTTAGCTGTTCCTAAAAAGGCACCAACTGGCCAAACCCCCTTACTGATGAGGAACAGTCTAGCATCACCCTGGAGAACAGAAGGTTGAGATTTTGAGAACAACGTTCAGTAAATACACCTCTGCAGCCTGTTATTCCCTCAAAACTGATGAATATAGAAATAGCAGCATAATTAGATGAACACTTGACTTTCAAATGGCATCCAGGTTCAAGGAGACTTGGGTAAACCAGGAAGAAAGTTTTGCTTTACAATGCTGTAAGAAAAAGCCAGCATGACTCAGAAACCAAACTCAACTTGTTTTTCCTCTAACCTTTAAAAAGATCTGTCATATTGTGCTACGCAAAAGACTTAATTGGCTTGTTCTGCCCTTGGAAGGCATAAAGCACTCCATCAGACTTAAATAACTATTAACATCATTATTAACAAAAAGCTCAGGGGAAAATTTCCCCTGGGGACACTTGGGGAGCATTCTGTAGGATGGAGGACAAAAAACAAGGGCTATTTTTATTTCGGCTTGCACTGAGGATTGTGCTAAAATGAGTGGCATTTTTGCAAAGTGCATTTCTCTTTGTTTACCTCAATCAACCTACAATACAGTTGTTTATTACAGACATTGATATTTTAAAACTTAAAGAGGAAATGTTAAAATATATATATTTGTATAATCAATAAAACAGCAGAAAGGGAATAGTAACCCTCTGTAACCTGCAATTCCAATGTTTTACTGACAGTAAGATAGGTCAAATTTCAGTCATCACTTCTGATGGTGGCATATGAAGACCTAAGACTGAATACTAATGCTGCATCTCTGCATTGGATCTGTGAGAAGCCACCACTGACATGTCCCAGGAAGCACTGCTCTAGCCATCACTCTGAGAAGATATTTTTAATTTCCACTTGCTGACCTGGAAGATCCCACAGGAACACATCCATTGCTGCCAATTTTTAATGGATTCTGGCAGATATCAGATCAAGTTTGCTTTGCCCTCTCCTGCTGCTTTATCCTCCTGTTTCATGGTAATTTCAGATTGAGGTCAAATCCTGACGGGAAATTGCAGAACTGCACCCAAGCCAGCACAACTCCTGTTTTTGGTGCAGGGATCTGTGTCATTCCTCAGATTCTGGCAGGAGGTGACCTGGGCTCTCTGGGATGACAGTGCCTGGTGAAGGCAGTTTGTCATGAAGGTGAGGGGCAGCTGAAGCAGCGGGGGCAAGAGGGTAATTTCTGGGGCCAAAGACTAAGCATATTTCAAAGCAACAGGAGGGCATCTGAACTTCTGCTGAGCTGTCCAGGACTCCAGCTATCTCTCCACTTTATCACCTAGTTTAGTGATACTCTTGTCATTGTCATTCTGGAACTTGAACCTGAAACCTTTGGGCTTAAATTTCAATGTACTCAGTCATCTGAAATAAAGGTGCAGTGCTCTTAAAGCAGGAGAAATCACATACGTTTTCACCCACAGAAACTAGCCAGGCTGATTGATGGGGATTTTATGCTTGGTTGTCTAGCAGTGTGATGTAAGGACTGAGGAGGAGAGCACTGTGTCCCCCTGCCTGCCCGTGTCCCCTCCTTTTGTCTTGTCCCAGGTCTGGCTGTCCCTGACTCCCACACACCACAGCACTGTGTTGAGGCAGAAGCAGGTTTTCTGGTTTTGATATTCTGAAGGGGTCATCATTGTTGCCTCAATGTGAAGCAGTGCAAGATATTTGCTTTCTAGAATTGTTTTGTGGCAGCAGAGGGTGGAGGGGCAGAGCAGATGTTGTGGGAGGTTCATTCATAGTGCTGCCACTGCTGTAATTCTGCATGGAAGGGTGGTGGGGTGGGCTTGTTTTGTGAGGAGAATGAATGGAAAATTTGAACTGATGAGCATGCTAAAAAAAGGACAGCAAGGAAGATATATACATGCTCTGACTTGCCACTTGAAAACATCCAGGGCTTCTCTGTTGCCAAAGATTCTTGTACAGGTGGCATTGCAGGAGCAGTAAAGGCCCTCATCTGGTGAAAGAGAAATCTGTGCTCCTCTTCAGCAAGGCAGTCAAGCTGTGAGCTCTTAGGGAGAGAGACCATCTCATGTTTTGTGTCTGTATACCTATACATATCTATCACCTACTAGTGATACCTTGTCCCAAAGTGTCACAAAACCACACAGTAATAGTAGATTTGTCCTGTCCCACAGCCTTTCCATCATTCAAAGCAGATGCCAATTTAGAGGCCAGTTGGCAAATGAATGGAAATTTGTAGAGAATTTGATTGTGTCTCTTATGCCCATGGGAAGCAGGGACTAAGTTGATACTTGCCAGCACATACATCTTCAACTCTGATTTTGTTAGTGGGATTTACATTTATACATATAGTTCAGCTGCTGGAGTCCACTACCCACAGGGGAGCTATGTTATCAAAGGCAAAACTAAGGATAAGAGCCCATTAAAAAAAGGAAGTCTATATGATTATTTGAAAGAAAAATCTTAACTTCTAAAATAAATTAGTTTTAAAATCTAATCCATCTGTAATTGCAATAAGCTACAACATTCAGCCAAATGATTGTGATGTCTGTTATACCCAGACTTCACTGATTTGAGTTACAGGAAAAAAATCTACCTTTGAACTCACCTAGGCTTACAAATGAGAACTATTAAAAGTGAACTTAAGTGGCAAGAGCATTGGAAGGAAAGCTGGTAATGCACACTTAACTCTTTTATTTTAAACAGATTCAGGCACAAAGGATGAAACTCAGATGCTGCATGAATGGTTTGAGCTGGTCCTGGAGAAGAACAAATTAATGCGTTATGAGTCTGAGCTTCTGATTATGTAAGTAAGGACAACCATTAATGCTACAGAAAGGGGCAGGGGAAGAGTGCACTCCCGTTACACCTGAACACCTTACTGTGTGCTGCAGCTTGAGATTGTTACAGAGTGAACATACCCAGAGTAGTGGCAATCTGTTTTGAACACAGTTTTCCAGTTGAGCCCTCCTTGTCCTTCCCTCTCACAGTGGTTCAATTATTTCAATCTTACACAATACTCTAAACCAGTACAGCATACAGATGCTCTGCCTGCACACAATGTGGCTCTAATGAGCACTGGAGCACTTTCTCCTGTGGAAGAAAAACAGTCTGACAAGTTTATCTCAGTTTATTGGACAGAGGAGGAAAGATCTAGGAATTACTACAGCCATGAAACAAGCAGATACACCAAGCAAAATAAAAGGCACCTCAGATGCCAGTCTTTGTGGCTGATGAAAATAATATTGGCTGTAGCTCCCTCACCTCAAGAGACAGGCAGAGGTGACTCTCAGCTATTTTCTCCACTATTTCTGGGCTAAGTGGGAAGGCAATGAGAGCTGCAGCAGTCATTGTTCAACCTACCAGTGTAGGTTGCTCGTTGCCATTTTACTCAACCAGCACCGTGCACAGTGTGTGGCAGCCCAGCCACTGGCTCCAGCTGCACCCCAGTGTCTCTCTAGACACTGCTGCTACCAGGGGCCAAACATTTTATTTTCCCTTTGATTGTCATTGGATGTTGTGGTAGCAATGCTTCCTGCTCACTCTGTCTGTGAAGCAGAGTTAAAAAAGCAAAGCAAGCTGCTTTTACCACTGCAGGACACAAAATGTTGCCTGGATGTGTTCACGTGTGTTAATTCCCTTGCCCCAGGACCTGTTCCTGTGCAGTGGGCCTGGCAGAGCCCTTTGTGTGTGAGAGCATTCAGTCCCATCCACAATCAAGTGGTGGGTGCCACCAGCAAAGCACAGCTGGTTAAAGCCCTAAGTGTTGTGACATCTGAAGGAGCTTAATGTGATACATAATGCAGAAGAGGGTAGTGGTGCTTTTGGCATTGCTGTGGCAATGTGGGCACAGCAAAGCTTTTAGGCTTGACTGCCCATGAGGAGAAAAAATGAAAATATTATATAAAAAGAATACAGAATCTTTTGGTTGAAATAACATTAATACATGTCTTTATTGAAAAAAAAGGTTATTATTTAATATACCTCTTATTGCACCTAGAGCCCAAGAACTAGAATTGGAGGACCACCAAAGCAGGTTGGAACAGAAGCTGAGAGAGAAAATGGCCATTGATGGTAAGTCAGAGTGTGCTCCAGCCCACAGACCGTGCCCATGGGAGTCCCTGCTTGCTCCAGAAAGGACCAGAGTAGATGAGGCTCTTCTGCCTGCACTCTGCTGTGAGTGCAGGTCAGGCAGCAAACCACAATTTGTAAGGTCTTCTTATCTGACTTCTCATGAAGACAGCTAAGCTGACTTGCCCAGTTTTAGGCTGAATTGGATCAGAAGCATTCACACATGTAGTCCAGCTGCCACCCAAATACAAAAGAAGTTATCTGCTTTTATGTTAACTGTAGCTTGACTGGTTACTGCAGTATTTTGAAACTGCTTTTTGATACTTGGGATTAAAGTTTGGGTTTATCCTTTCATTCAGTGCTAGAAAAGAGGGTGTGAGGTGGAGGAATGCAGGGAGAAGGGGGGTTACATAGCACTGAATAAACTGAAATACCCTGTTGTGTTCTAAGCATGTGCATTGTAAGTGACAGCAGTTTTCAATATTTTTTCTAAAAAACAATTTCCATCTTCTTAGAGTTTCTACATTTTATATGGATAAACAAAATTTAAATTCTAGCTTAAATACTTTAATAAAGTATTTATTAATACTTTGATAGCACAGGAGTGCTCTTCCTATCCACTCCCACTCTAAGTTTTCTTAAAAGTACTAAAGGCTTTAGAACTTTTATAGTTAACCTTAAATGGCCAAAACACATGGGAAATTTCCCCTGGACTGTAACATGAAAAATATGAACTGCTATTGACTTAATTTCTTGTTGACTATAATATTAATTACATCTGTACACCAAAAATTAAAATACAGAGTGTAAAAATGGAGTGACCAGGTTTTTAACCTCTTCTTCTTTTGATCTTTTAGACAGCCTTAAAGATGAGATGGATCTGAATGAGGAGGATGAAATTTTTGCTGAGATGATGAAAGTGGTTGAGCGAAGGGACAAACTTGTGTCTACCTTAGAAGAGCAGAGAGTGAAAGAAAAAGCAGAAGACCAGCACTTTGAAAGCCTTATATCATCTAGAGGCTATCAGCTGAGCAGGATTTAAACAGCCACGTGCAAATAAACATTATTTCAGCAATATTCATAATCATGGAGGTACAGTCTTCTGAAAAATGAGGGAATTCAATTTTAAAATCAGTTTATTTGGGAAACATGTTGGTTTGTTACCAAAGGCTCCTAAGCAGTTATTTTGCTCATACAAGAGTGAGTCATGTGGAGATCAGTTTAAAGGCTGACAAGAATACAGGACTGAATTTGCCTGCATGGTGGGCATCAGGGTCTGTGAAAAGGAAATCAGAGCCCTATTGTTTTCCTGGAATTTTATTTTAATGCTGAGACTAGAGTTTCTGAGAGAACATGATGACATCATGTAGTATTTTTGAGATGGCATTACTTTCCATCTGTTTGTCTGAATCTGTATGTGGTTTTGTTAATATTTTGGCACAGCCAACCCATGGTGAACTATTCAAAGGTCAGAAAGCAAGCATCTCATATGAAAATAAGGTTAGTTTTTATTTCTGGTGGAGGAAGTTTCATTTGACTAATAACTACATGTAAGTACTCATTAAAACTACTGTAAATACAAAAACAGAAAATAATTTTCCAGGTACTACTAAGTTTTAGTGCACCCTCTGTTTTAGAACAAGAAGTTAAAGCAATATTAGACACTTATATTTTGCACAATGCTAAGCAATTTTCTAAGGGGTGAATACCCTTGAGACTTATATATTAAAAAAAACTTTTGTATGTCACAGATTAAGGTCTTTAAAATATGCTAAATGGTTATTTAAAAATAACACTCCAGACCTGATTAGTACTTACAGGATAAACTTTACAATTGCTTGATAAAATACATGACAAATAGTATCATAGGGTGGGATGAGTGATATAAAGGTTAAAGCTCTCCCTGAGAATAATTCCTCAAGAGGATTGCAAAAATTATTGAGTTTGTAATTTCAACATTTGATAGAAAATGTTGCAGACATATTTAAACTACACTTCTCTTGCTGCTTAACAATATATGCATATTTTTTTGCTTAAAGCAACTATTTCCTATCTTTTTTGTACATGCATTTGTAGATAACAGGCAAAGTAGATATGTAGAAATTCTCATTAATATTTGGTGTAAGTTAAGTACTTCCTTAAATCTGAGATAATTCTGCCATTTAAGATTGGTAGATTTCTCGACTTTACGTATGATGCACTAGATTTTCAAACTGAAAAACAAGGAGAAACTGAAAGACTGATTCTTTTTTAATATTGTTTTACCTCATGCTCTGAGGAGACACAATGTTCTCGTTATTTCATGAATGGTGCTAATCTGCAGCAGTTGCCTGTAGTGCAGCCAAAGCTAGAAGCATTCCTGTTCCAAACACTTTTAACTAGAAAAACCTCTTGGTAAGTACTTTTAGGGTAACAGACACAGTGGATCCTTTCACAACATTTTATTAATTATCTTAAGTTTTTGCTGTATTGTAAGAAATTAAAAATATCCTTTCTAAAGAGAAAAGCAAGGTTTTACTACTGACCACAGATAAATAATACACCTCTATTGGTGCAAGGAATTCACTATTGTTCTGCAATATTTATGCCTTTATATTTATTTACTAGACTGTTTACAGAGGCCAAGAGTGTCTGGTTACATTTTGGATGTTGTCTCTGATTTTGACTGATAAACGTTTATTTCTTACAGCTACATATAGGTAAAGCTCTGCATTGTACAGTAGATAGCTTTATCTGTTTGGAAAATAATTAGGAAAATCATAGGAATTCAGATTTTTAAACAATATTTTCATTTACTGTAACTCAAAGGGATACCCTTAAAACAGCATGTAAGGCTTTAGCAATATAATTTGTCTTTCATCATTTGGAAAGACACAGCAGAATTCTTGAATCTATTCCAAAATTACCATCAGACTTTTAACTTTCCTGTCATTCACAGGCTAAGCATACCTGATCTTCAGGTTACATTTTTATTGAGATGGTTAGCAGTGATTGATTTTTAAATTAACTCTATTACTCAAGATTGACACAAAGTAGGAGCAGGCAAGGCAGCAATAAATATTTTCATTTTCTCTGTCGAGATCTGCTGGTATTTCCAGTTTTGTGGTGAAAATTTGTGTATTTTATCACTATTCCCAAAAGCCTCATGTAATCCCACAGAACAAGGATGTCTAGAACATCTACCACAATTTTGTGTAGTACACAGAGAGTCATAATGCTTTTAAGGCATTTTTTTAAAAGCTTTAAAGCAAACTTCTTAGTGCTTTGCACAGGAGGGAAATTCAGCAGAAACCTCCAGTTATAGCAAAGATTGTTTTTTTCACCTCATTTTTGCAATCTAGAAAGTCTGTTTGCTGTCATGTTGCTGCTGTAGAAAGAGGAAAGGCAGCCTCAGAGAAGTGATGCTCCTAGTCCTGAGGAGGAGATTGCTCTCCTCCCGCAAAGCCCAGCCTGCATGCCCAGGGGAGATGCACACACTGCACATCTCAGGTTCAGGTCGCTCTGCACTGTGTATCAGCCCTGAGGATTATGTTTATAGCAGACACCTGTTCAGCTATAAAAGCAAATGCAAAAGGGTGCTTTACTTTTAGCTCCAAAGATTTGAGTTCTTGAGAATATTAGAGTCAACAGAAGCTGAGAGCCATCAGCATTTTATGGACTTCAAAAATATTCTTTGCTAAAAAGATGGTACTTTTCTGGATGCCATGTAGTCATAACACATTCTCCACCCAAAACTGTGTGTCTGCTTTTGAGTAGATAAATCAGTCAGGCTACTGTTGCCCTGCCTGATAATAAGTACCTGACCAGACTAGATCAAAAAATGAACTGTGCAAGTGATTTAGAAAAATAACAAACTCTTAAGTCATTTAATGCACATCTTCATGTATCATGAGAGTAAAGAAGGAGAGGGGTGACAAAGAGAAGCTATGTGCACTGTTCACAGGTCAATTTAATATGATTGGCTTGTATTAGAAATGTATTCAAACACTGGTTTGGTTATGAGTCTTTTTGCTGCTCAGTCTTTTCTGTAAATTGACTTACTAACTTATAATACATTTGTTCATTTTTTAAGTCCTTGGCTCTGCCATTTTTGGGTATAATATTATGTGCTGTAATGTATTGACTGTGTCTAAATGGACTAGATGTGAGTAATTTTCTATTTGAAAAAAATAAAATTGTATCTCACTCTCTGAAGTTCCTGAATAATTTCCATAGCAATTTTTATCCACCAGTATCTACAATGTAATAATGTGTGTCTAGGAAAGACAAATAGGTAAGAAATTTTATGTTTCTTAATTCATATACTGGTAAGTAAATCACACCATCCTGCAGGTTATAGATTAAATTTATGGTTTAAGAATAATGACACCCTGAAGTTAGAGGGCATTCAACTTTATGTGTAACATAAGAAGTTGAAAACTTAATGAGATCAACAACTTCCTCACATTTTGCATTGGAATTCACCACCTTTTTGGGGCATGACATACAAATTGTAACATCTCCTTGTAGACTTGAAGGAAAAGTGTCACTGCATGGATGATAAAGAATTGGTAATCAAAACCTGAATTTCTGATTTTCAAATTTCACTAACTCTATCAGTCATCTTGTTTTGTTGCTTTCTACCAGTGGGAGAGCCTTACAGAGCAAGGCAATGTGCTATTTAGATCTGCAAGATTTGGACTTAGGTTGGTGCCTGCACTGTTGTACCCTGCTGAATGACTCTGAACTGACTGATAGTGCTTTCCCCTTCAGAGGACAGATGGACAGGTGCTTGTCTTCAGAAGTTAAGGTAATTTTTCACATATTTGAACTGAAGTTTTTAATCTACTGTCATATCCTTTCCCTTCTATCTTGTGTGCGTCAGAGGCAGATGGGCATGGTAATGACTTCTCTGATAGTACCACACTTAAGTTCTCAGGGCTGCACAAGTGTTACCTGCCTGCTGGGTTTACTGGAACATGTTCATCTGTGTTTAAAACCTTGCAGCCATGTTGACTTCTCAGCCTGATGGTCAACACCTGGAGGGCTTGGCTGGCTCAGGAGAAGGATGTGGGTAGAAATGCCACAATGGAATTTACTGAAGCTTCCCTTCTACTCACAGCACACATACGCACCTCCTTGTCCCCTCTTCAAAGGATCGTTGGCCTAAAGAAACTCAATTGGACAAGAAGTTCAGGAAAAGGATTTTGTAAGTCGTTATTTGACTCAAGATCAATCCATTTGCCTCCCAGGTAAAGGAACACCTCACTGATTTTTAGGGTATTTGGCCAACAAACTTGGAGATCTGGTGCTTTGAAACCTCTCTGCCCAATGCACATCTGATTTCAACTAAGAATTTCACTTTAGCTTAGTAGTTTATTTCCAGAAAGATATACTCTGTTTTCTTTCCTGCTTGAGCAAGTAACAGGATGTGGCTCAGCAGACTGGAGATTCTGTACCTCTTTTAAGACTTTGCTGCTGTTAAGATCTAAAGCTGTCCCTGCTGTGTTTTGCGTGGGCCATATGATTTTTGCACAGTTTAGCACGATAGGTTTGCCATGTTAGTGTGCAAATACTATCCCTGCAATCTTCATGGCAGCCACAGCTCATGAACTTACATCCTGGAAAATGCTTTGTGATGTGTAAGGTATTTGCTGGATTTCACCTCAACCTCTTTGTCTAATATTTTTTTTTTTAAATTGTGGTTTCTTCTGTTGGTTTTAATGGACTGTGAAAAGAGACTTGGTGGCCCTGTGTGCCAGCAATTCACTTGCTGGAATATTCATCTAACACAGAGGTACAAAATTACATGCACAAGTGAAGGACACAAGAGCAGCTTATTAAATAAATAAATAATTATATTGTGTGTTTTTTTCTTTCTAAAACTATCTCAAGAAGACCAGGTGTAGATACAGGTAAACTTGGTCTGGTGTTCACCCTGGCTGTTGGAACAACATGTTATCAGAAGCATTAAATACCAGGATGATGTTCTCATCTTACTGAAAAGTTTAAGACTCACTTTCTTTCCTTAGAAACTTGTCCAATAATTAATCTCTGTGACTG